GAATATGTTCCTTTTATAGTTTTCTTAATGGTTGCTCTCAGAATTGCAATATACATATAAATCTCACCATAGCATGCTGGTATATGTTTTACTACTTTCAGTTATGTGTATAAAACTTATTTTTATTTAGAATCTATTATCCTCCTCAATTTTTAAGTATAACTATCCAATTTTCTCAACATAAATTGAGCACATGTTCCATGATAATATTACCTTTTTTATATTTAACTCTTTTTAATACAAAAGACAGACAGCAACTTCACTATGCTATGGGAGGAAAATGAATCCCTTGCACTGTCTTATAGCCTTAACATAGCTTCCAAATGAATGAATAAACCCAAATCCTTATTTATCCTTTTAGGCAACAAAGTGCCTTTGAGGAGAGCCACATGACTGTAAAAATGCGGTTAGACTCAGGGGTGGCTGAATCCATCATGCCAAAGCTATAGATCCCATCCTCTTTCAGTTCCTATGGTCCCATCCCTTTTCTCACCATCATTTTCAGGGCCAAAATTTAAGGGTTACTAAAACGCAGGTATCCACATAAGACTTCTAATGTAATTGGTGAAATGCAAATTGATCTTGTTACATTCTGAAGCCAATCTCATTTTCATTTAAAAAATCAAATTAATATTTAAATGATATCTGTTTGAAGGCACCTCATTATTAGCCTGCCTGTGGCTCTTACTTGACTTAGCTCTTTTATCCTAATTTATATTTGAGTTTTAGCACTGTCAGCAGTGCTTCCACTCACTGTTAACTAATTCCCTGGTATATTCTCTTAATTGATCTCTTTCTTTTTAAGCCCCAATCTCTTCCTCTCAGGCTCCTTTGAATTATTTTCTGATGCAATAGAAAAAATATTAAGGTAGCTGATTTGAGCCCACTCAGCATCCCATATTCCCCTTGAAACTTCCCCCAGTGTCAGAAAGAAAATATGTCTCTCATTTTCAAGGAAACCCCACTGCTCAAGCCTCTCAACTCTTAGGATTTCACTTTTCCTATGATCCCATCCTTTTTCCCTCTAGAATTTCAAGCTTTTGCTCAGTAATTTCCAATTTTGTCTTCATCTATATGTAGATTCACTGTCGTCTCTTTCAAAAACTCTATCTTGAATCTTCTACTCCTATCTGTTTTCTGTCCTGTCGCCACCCATCATATTCTTTGTGATTTTATATCTTGGGCTCTTTATACCCCTTTCTCTAATAACCCTTTGCAATTTAATTTCTATCAACTTCCTTTATGACAATTGCTCAGTGCAAGTGTGCCAAGTGACCTTCTTCTAATGAGATTCAGCAGAATTTCCTTGCTTCTTTTTCTACCACAGTTTTGCTTTATTTGATATCATTTTTATGGGTTCATACAACTCACCCTCTTATGGTGACCATGAAACAATAGTATTCCACCTGCCATCTTTGACTCTGGGAATCCATTAATGTTGTGCTTAGACTTTCACTCTTCTTTTTCCTTAAAACTACATATCTCCATGTTTTTTCAATTCTGGTTCGCTTAGTCAATCAACACTCCTTCTGATCCGTATCCAGCATTTATTTGCTTTTCTTCAGATTCCTTGCCATAGTGATTACCATTTCTTTGCTTTCACTCAGGTAGTTTAGCCTGTGTGGCCCACCTTGCCCTGTGCTAATCGAAATCCAACATGCTTGTGCTCCAAGGCCAACTAGCAACCTACTTCTTTCATTAGGCCTTGCTTAAGCATTGCAGGACATTGAAGTCTTTGTCTAAAACCAAGTTAGACTTGTAATTTTCTTGGCAAGATAGTACTTCCTAATAGTCTCTAGTTGTCCCAAATATATAGTCCTCATTTCATTAACTGTCCCTCTGAAAGTATGAACATAATTTTTATTCCCTGACAGGCTTGCCATGTGTTAGGCATACAGAAGTTGCTTAATGAATTTGTTTACCAGCTTAATGCTAAATAAATGTGCCAAAGAAGTAAAGACAGTTATATCATGTTATTGGTACTTCCACTATGTGTGAAACTAGGCTTTTTAAAGTGGATTTCTCAGGAGACTACATGAAGCACTACTGACACTAATTGAGAAAGAGTATGACCTCTGAAGGCAGATTGCCTGGGTTCAAATTCTGACTCTCACCTACTGACTGTGTGACTTTGGGAAGGTTAATTAATGTTTTTGTGCCTCATTGTCTTTCCTTGAAAATAAGAGAAAACAACAGTATCTGCATCATAGAGCCATTAGGAAGTCAACTGAGTGTTGTCAGATACTTAAGACAATTTGGGGCATGTAAAAATTGCTCCCTGAATGTCAGCTATTACTAAGTGTTTATTAAACATAGAATGAGAGCACCTCAGAGGTTAAAGAACTTTCACTTTATAAGTGAAAAGAGAGTGAGGAATCAAGGTAAAATGATTGGCTCAAAACATATGGCTAATTTAGAGGCCAGGTCAAAAACACAGCTCTCGTGATTCCTATTCAGTACTTGGGTTTTTCTCACTAAAGATTGCTACACATGAACATGGACTGAATTATAGACCCTTAAAGTTGTAAGAGACATTCAGGTCTCTTCAGTTTAACTTTTCCATAAGGGAACATACTGCATGATCACTTGTCACAAACCTTGCATTTTTGCCAACAGTCCATTTTACAGATTCTTAATCATCCAGAAAAGAAAAAAAAATACTAACAGAACCTGCGCTAGGATTCCCAAGTTAAGAAACACAGGAGGTACAGGAATGGATGCCAAGGTCAGGTCCCTGGAGTTCAGATGACCACCACTGGACCATTTTAATGTTCATCTTTTGAAAAATAAGATTTCTTTTTCAGGGAAAACATTGTCTGGAATATTCATTATAAAACTGTGATTCAGGCCATCCCACACATCCTTGAGTGTTTTGCAGATAATATCCTTCCTGGTAAGAATCTGAAATTATGATTTTGATGAACTCTCAACAATACTCCTTAGCAGCCAGGAAAAGGCTCAGGAGCCAAATACCAATACCAGGCATAATTTCTGTGGGTTTCAGCTTTCTGTGTGGTTCTCTGGAACAGTATTCAGCCTGGTTGTGCAATCAGCTATGCCAGGGTTTTTAAATTCAATCTAGCAGATATAGACTCTCAAGAGGAATTACAGCAATAAAAGATTGCTATTAACTAGGCACAAATAAACCTGTGTGTAAGGATTCTCTCATCAAATGCAATGAAATGCTATTCTCCGTCTCAATTCAACACTAAGAGAAGAGATTTAATTTCTCTTTAATGCAAATGAAATTGTCATATGTAAAATCAGCAGTAAAGGAGAAGGCCAAACTGAGTAATTACATTATGTGTCCACAAAGCGTGTTCATCAACCACTTCCCCCACTCCCTCACTACAAACACAATTCAGGGAATCCACTTCTCTGTGGGTGATTATTTTAAATGCCTGAATGTAGTATGCAACCTCTGAGCTTTATGGCTTGGGATTTTAATCCTCAAAACAGAAAGGTTTTATTACCCGAATCTGAAAGTTGTGTTACCCACTTGATAATGCAGATTGAGAAGACAGACTCCACTGATCCTATACAGGGTGCTCTGTCCTTCCTTTGTGTTTCTGTAGTATTTTATTTATACCTCTAAACTTACTCATGACAAATTGGCTTGTTACACCTAGCTGTATGTTTTCTTTATATAATATAAACTTCTGAGGAAGATTTCAGACCTTATATATCTCTGTATTCTCCCACAGCCTTGTGGTGTCTGGGACATAGTATATGCTCAATAAATGTGTTATAATTATTTAATTTTAACTGTACATATCCTAAGGATTTCCCACTTATAAAGTGTTATTCTAATGGATTCATATCTTTGACACATCTTTTCGTTTTCACTTCTGAGAACTTTCGCTTTTGGAACATGAAAAAGAGTCGAGCAGATTGGCACTCTAATTTAGATGGCTATAGTAAGGGAGTGCCTAGCAATTTTTTTTTTTAATAGTAACTTTATGAAGACTTGCAGAGATTTCAAGCTTTCAGTTGTTTAACGAGACCAAACTACACTGTGTCCTGGGACACAGGAAAGGAGAGAATTCACAGGCATAATAGGAGGATATCTCAGAAAGACTATTTAAAAGAAAAACCCAGCCCCCAAGTCCTGACTCTAAAAGCCAGTAAGTATACCTGGATCACTGGTATTTTCACTGCCTACCTTTTCTCTTTAATGATTTTTCTGAGAATTTTTCAGGTTTAATGTTCAAGAAATATTTAGTCCATGCCCAGTCGGCCCACAGTGACAGTACAGAATTAGCTAACTGAGAAACCTTCTCAGCACAGGGCCTTGTGTAACTCCACTGGTCCCACACCTACGAAGCCAGCCCTTGTAAATAAACAAGACGCTGCTATGTCCTCAAAGAGCTTCTAACAGTGGAAAGCAAAACATCAGTAGTATGGCTACAAGTTACAATTCAAGTATAGACAAGCAGTTGTTGGAACCCCAAAGAAGTTCCTGTGTAAAGACTTCCCAAGGATCGTGAAAGTCAAGCTCATTTTTGAGGAATCAGTTTAAGACAGAAGAGTGATATTCCCGATGGAAGGGGTACCACTGAAGGCAGGCAGAATTCACCTGTTAAATTTCAAAATAGGATTGCTTTTAAGGAAGTTGGGATATAAGGATGACAACTGAGACTGAGGATGAAAAGACAGGCAGAGGCCCAATATATGTGGGGAAGGACTGAACAAAGTCCTTATCGTGTGCTGAGTTCCTTCCCCCTGTCACCACTTTAAACACTCTTCAGCCCAGCACAGTACTGTCCACAGGTTTGGCCCACAGCAGCCATCATTATTTCTTGAGGAATAAATGCTGACTCTGTTTGGCTGAAGACGCAGGAGGCTCCACCCTCACACCGAGCTGCCAAGTGGGCTTTTACTTCTCCAGGGGTCCTCTCCGCCTTTTTCTAGTACCCCAAATTGTCCCTCCCGTCCCTCGTCCCGCCCCCGCGTCTCCACGTGCCGGAAAGTGGGCGACAAGAGTACTTCCGGGTGGTAAAGGTCGGCCCCGGCAAGATGGCGGCCCCCTTGGAGCTCAGTTGCTGGGGAGGCGGCTGGGGGCTCCCCTCCGTCCACAGCGAGTCCCTGGTGGTGATGGTGAGGCCGCCTCGCGGGCCAGGGCGCGGGAAGCAGGGGCGGGGCCAGAGGCGAGAGGCCAGCCTGACGCGGTTCTCTGCGGCGCTGCGGGATCGTGGCGGGCCCGGGTGCTGCTCACTGCACTTGCTTTGGGCTCACTTCGGTGGACAAGTCACAAACTGGCCTTGTGACCCCGCGGTGGCCCGGCGGGAGCATCATGGCTTCCTGCTTGGCTGCGAGTTTTCTTAGCTTTGCAAAGCTGTCTGGGCCGTGCCGTGAAAGCCTGCTGCGCTCCGCATCCCCGGGACCTTTTGGGGAACAAGGTTCGCGAATGCCGGGTGGCTGGCGCGCGCGTCCCGGACTTGAGATCACTGGGAGGGACTCGGCCTCTGTGTCAAGCAGGCGCCTTCTGCCTTGGGGGACGGGACTGTGGAGTAAAGCTGCTGTGCAGATTTGCATTACGTCCTCAGTCTAAAATGTTTTATTGCAAACTCTATTTCAGGCTTATGCCAAATTTTCTGGTGCACCCTTGAAAGTCAATTTCATAGATAACACCTGGAGAGGTTCAAGAGGTACAGTGTAAACTTTTAGACAACCCTTTCTCCCTTAAAAATTTTTTTTTTTCCCTTTCATTTAATGTCATGAAGCATATGGTCCTAGAGTTCCTTGGGGGTTTAGTTTATTCTTACCATGACCTTGGCAGTGTGTTGCTTATGGTTTGATCATTCTGAGTAATAACTCAAAGTGCAAGCCAAATCAGTGGAAATTATGAGAAATGAAAATGTTCTTTAGAACTGCTTTTTGTGAAATTGCAAAAAACTAAGGCGTACTTACTAATTCCACCCCACCCCCTGTAAATGTGCAATTAGTGTAGCTATTAGGGTATTGGAATCTAGTCAAAAGAAAACACAATGGTTTTTTGTATGTAAACTTTTTTTGAATTGTAGGTGATGTGCCAATTTTGACAACTGAAGACAACACTGTTTCTCAGCCGGCAAAAATACTAAACTTTTTAAGAAAACAGGTGGGTGGTTCTTTTTGAAGAAGATTATAGATTCCTGGGTGTTACTTAAACTACAGCAAAAAGAAACATTGTAAAGTGTAGAGTTCTTTTTTTGCAATTGATTATATAATTGGTGATACCTGGGATTTAACAAAAAATAAACTTGAGAATCACTGCTGTCAACCATGAGCTTTACTGTAATTTGAAAATCATATGGTGATGTCCAGACAATATATATTTTCTTTCTTTTCTTTTTATCTGTCTAGGAATTATATATTTTCTTTCTTTGTGTATCAGGGATTGAACCCAGGGTTGCTTTACCACTATATTCCTAGCCCTTTTAAATTTTTTTGTATTTTAAAATAGGGTCTCTCTATGTTGCCCAGACTGGCCTGGAACTTGCCATCCTCCTGCTGTAGCTTCCCTAGTGCCTGGGTTTACGGGCCGCAGGTGCCATGGTGCTAGACAGTAAATAGTTTCATATACTTTGCTGGATTTTATTGAAATTTATATATAAGAAAATTCAATTTGGGTGTTTTCACAATTACACAGTTTAGTCACATAGTTGCTACACATTTTAAGCTGGATATAATATCTGAGTTTCCACCAAATAGCAATTGTTTATTGCTTTTTTGTTTTTTAAGATTTTTTTTAAGATGGACCCAATATCTTTATTTATTTATTTTTATGTGGTTCTGAGGATCGAACCCAGTGCCTCACATGTGTGAGGCAAGTGTTCTACCGCTGAGCTATAACCCTGGCTGCAATTGTTCATTTCTTAAAGCACTTATCAAATAGTAACAGTTAAATGTTTAATTAAACAATATAACTAAATGTTTGAACATATAAATATTTAAGTAATGTATCCAAAATGTTTAAACATGTGAAGATTTATAGAAGTGCAGAAGTTTATAATTGGGTTTCCAATACTTTAAAAAAAAAGTCTGAGTTAATACAGTTTTTTTCCAAATTTGAAGATTTCCTATCTTTTTTCATGGGGAAAAATTAAACCAAGAGGATTTTTTTTTCTTTTTGTTAATAATACTCACTTTTGTTTAACTTCTATGTTCTGAACTAGGTCATTAACAAGTATTGAAATAATATTAATATATAAAATCATAACTATTTGTTTACAGTTTTCATGATATAGTGCTGAGAACCTTATATGCATTAAGCAACAGTTTTACTGTGTTAATATTTCTTTTTCCCTTTTAATATCATGTTTGCCACTTATGAGGAAAAAATAGGAATCCTAATTTGTTTAGCCATCCTTGGGATGTTCTTTAACTTCTGAGGTTCTTTGGTTTTATTTTTTAATAGAAATATAATGCTGATTATGAACTGTCAGCAAAGCAAGGGGCAGATACACTGGCTTATATTGCTCTCCTTGAAGAGAAGCTTCTCCCTGCTGTGGTGAGCATTCACGAATATTACAGTGTTTTGGTGGCTTAATTGAAAATATTTTCAGTTTGTTTAGAAGGAAAACAATGAAAAGGACTTAACGGAATTTCATTTGTTTTAATATTAATTCTTTCTTATTAAACAAGTATATGATACATCAAAATGAAAGATTATGTCATTTTGGAAGTGAAAATTCTTTGTGGGAGATGAAACTTTTTGTTTCATGCATAGAATTGGTTGAACTGTAATTCATCATTCAGCACATACTTACTGAGCACTTACTATATGCTAGGCCTTGTTCCCGGTTCTTGGGATATTAGCAGAAACACACACATTAAAAATTTTGTTTTATCTTGAGTCATTCTAACTGGTATGAAGTCATTTAATAGATATTTATGAAAAACTCACATATGATTGATTTATCTTTCTTGTAAAAGGACATCATTGGAATGTTTTCTCCTTTTGCAGCTTCACACATTCTGGGTTGAGAGTGACAATTACTTTACTGTAACAAAGCCATGGTTTGCTTCACGAATTCCTTTTCCCTTGAGTTTGATTCTACCTGGAAGGATGTCCAGAGGGGCATTGAATAGAATTCTCCTGACAAAAGGAGAGCCTCCCCTCTACCGTGTCCAAGAAGTAGAAGCTCAGGTATGGTCTGGTTTATTCTCGAAGTGAGGGATCCCCAGGGAAGGGGTAGGAGAGAGAACATAGAGGGTCTTACCTAGAGATGCTGTCTCAAGAGCAGTTTCAGAGCATCATTTCTACTTTTGAGATCTAATTTCATTTTTATTAGATATACAGAGATGCCAAGGAGTGCCTAAATCTTCTGTCAAACAGATTGGGAACATCTCAGTTTTTCTTTGGAGATACGTGAGTACATACATGCCCTTAGAAATATTGACATTTTGTGTATATATGGTCAGAGAGCAGTTATTTAGAGCAAGTCTCCTTATTCCCTCCAAATATGAGTCACTTTTAAAAGAGAGAGATTTTAATGGGTTTTTATTACAGAAAACTTTTTTTATCAGTAGTAATCAAACATTGGCTTAATATGCTATATAAGTGAATGTAAAACATAAACAATTGTTCCCACTCTATCTCCTGTCTATTTAACACTTGTGAGTAAAAATATCTGTAATTTACAAGTTTATTTTCTTCTAAATAAAATGGAGTATTTAAAAATCTATGTAAAGGGCAAAATTCTTGTTGTATCATCTTAATAAACTAAAATTGGTAGTAGAGGTTTTTAAAACAATATTGTATACATCAGACTTGTCAAATATTTGAAAAAATTTTAAACACAATCCCAATTAATATTTTCTTATGTATTTTTTAAAAAAATTCTTAATTTATTTATAGGCCTTCTACCTTGGATGCCTATGTGTTTGGTTTTCTTGCACCTCTTTACAAAGTACGGTTTCCTAAAGTTCAGTTACAAGAACATCTGAAACAGCTGTCCAACCTGTGTCGCTTTTGTGATGATATCCTAAACAGTTACTTTAGGCTTAGTCTTGGAGGTAAGCTGTTTCTTCTTCATCTAATATTTGTTTGCATAGAGTATGGACATATTCTCCTGGGGATACATAAGCAAAACTTTATTCTTATTTTAATAAAAAAAGTGTACATTGTCTATAAATACTGGTTTACACACTTCAAGAAGTAGCATTTTCCCAATTTCATTTCCTTCACAAAATAGAGAAATAGGCATTTATTTTGTATTCCTCAGGATTTCATATATTTCTTGTCTCTTTAAATGTTACCCTTTGAAGTGGATAATTTTATTCTGGAAAATTAAATGACAAGTATTAAGTCCCTGCTTAAAAAAATAGTATTTATTCTAATGCAAATGCTCAATTACTTTAAATGATTTTTACCTGCTTCTAGCATTTTCCTGTGTGAACAGAAATTAATAGCAGATTGATTTTGGTGAGGTGCACTCCCATGATTCCAGTACTTGAAAAATCATTGCATCAAATTGGAGGTATAGTAAGTAGAGGGAACCTGTCACTTAAGATTCAATTCTTTTGAGTATGGGGCCTTGTGCTTAAGTGATTGTGATACTAAATTTAAATTGGGAGAGCTGGCTGAAATCGCCCTTTTAAGAAGTAAAAGTTATAAAGACAGATGGCATAGGTGGAAGTTTATTTTTGATGTGCTTTGTACCTAGGGTGGGATTAGTGGTTGAGAGTCTTGAAGCTAACTAACATTCAACCTTGTTACTTTGAAGCAGTGGTTAGCAAACCTGCCTAACAACAAATAAAAGTCTTGTCCTCTTCTAGACTTATTACATTAGAATCACCTACGGACTGATCCCAGAAAGCTGTAGTTTTTAAAGGCCCTTTAAATATTTTGGGTGCCTTGTGAGCAGCTATTTGGAAGTCAGTGATTCAGAAAGCTTTCCAAATAGTTGTGACCAAAGATCTATTTGAAAGGGTGAAGAAAAGGTACAACTTAAATTTCAAAAGGAAATATGGACTGCTGTGCTTTTACTAATTACTGCTGTGGCTGGCTGCATATCACTTGGCTCACAGTGTCTTCTATGTGGAGAAATTTTAGTTCCTTTGTTGAGGGTTTGGTTTGGAGCATTACTATTCTTCCTAACTTTGCTTTTGAATCTAGAATGATTTTTCTCTTTGTCTTTTATTTTTGGAGGGTGAGGCACTTGGGAGGGTGGGTAGATTCAAAATTCTTTTAATATAAACTGCTTTAAAGGCTTTCAAAATTTCCTGTCTTTCTCTGATTTCTGCCCTGGTTCATAGGCATCTCTCCAGCTGGACAAGAAACAGTAGATGCAAATCTGCAGAAACTCACACAACTTGTAAATAAGGAATCCAATTTGATTGAAAAGGTCAAGTTTACTTCGATGATTATTTTACAGTTGTTTAGTATTTTCCATTCTGTGGTCAATGTTGTAATTTGGGTGATGCATTAACTTTACCCTTGAAATTTTTTAAAGAGTTTGTAGAAAACTGTTTAAATATACTTTTACTAAAATTGTATATAATACAGTGTTTTAGAGCCTATAGTGGCCTGTTTACTATGGGAAAAGATCAGATAACAGTATTATGTTTATTTTTACCACACAATTTGTACATATCAAGCTAGAAGACCCAAAAGCTTGACTTTAAAAAAGAAACAAAACCAAAAGCAGTTCTTGCTTGTTTGTCTGCCTTTCTCTGTCCTGAGGATTATATTCACCTGGACTAGTACATATATTTTCTTATTACAAGCACCATGATGTCTTTTTCTTTCTTGCACATGATCTGTGTTAGTTTTTCTCCTTCTTGTCCTTCTCTGTTTTGAATGTAGTCTACAGTGTTTCACCAGAGTATATATTTTCCCTCTTTGAGGTATTCATTTTGTGAAAGAGATATTGAAAAACAGGTAAGGGAGAGAACCAGCAATGTAAACTTCAAGAGTGATTCTAATTGGAAAAGTACGCGAAGGTTGCACATTTTTTCCCCAAGTGTCTGATGAACTCACTTTTTTCTTTTGTGAATAAATAATACTTCATTTTTTCAAGGACACTAAGGCCTCATAACACTGGCTAACAGTTTCCAGAGTCTAACAAATACCATGATACCATAAGCATAGAATGGTTTATCTCTTTTTCATCTACCATCATGTACTAATCATGACTTATTTTTGTAAGCACAGATATAGGCATTTATTAATAAAAAAGGGTGAGGATGACACAGTTATTGTGGATGGAATTGTGAGAATTTGGCATCTTCTCTGTGTTTATGTGCATTTTTTTCTAAGTACAAAGATTATACTTTGTAGAACTTTGAAGATGAATGCCATTTTTAAATTTAAGAAACTTTGAAGAACTTTGAAGATGAATGTCATTTTTAAATTTAAGAAAGAGAGGCCTAAACATGGTACCTTAAAATATGTTGAACAGTTTCTTTCCCCTCCCATCCCAACTTTTCCTTCCTACCTTCCTTTAGTCTCCCTCCTTTACTGATATTTTTTCACTCCTTTATTTATTTATTTTTGATTGGTACTTTCTTGTGTACATATGTATATGAAATTCTCTTTGCTACATTTATATATGCATATAGCATGATTTTGTTAAATTATTCCGTATTTTGTCCCCTGTCCCTTCCTTCCTCCCTCCTTTTCCTCTTGCTTCACTGATCTTCCCAATATATTTATGATATCTGCTCCCACCCCATAGCATCTCTTTCCTTTATTTTGTTCTAGCTTGCACATATGGGAGAAAATATTTGACCCTTGATTTTTGGAGTCCAGCTTATTTCACTTAGCATGATTTTCTCCATTTCTGTTCACTTACTGGCAAATGCCATTTTTTCATTCTTCTTTATGATGGAGTAGAACTTCATTGTGTGTATAGACTACATTTTCTTGATATTTTGACAGACATCTGGTTGATTTTATAATTTGACTATTGTGAATTGTGCTGCTACAAACATTGAAGTGGCTGCATCACTATAGATGCTGATTTTAGTTTTTTTGGATAAATACCAAGGAGTGGGATAACTGGGTCATATGGTGGTTCCACTGCTTTCCAGAGTGGTTGTACTAATTTGCAGTTTCACCAACAGCATGTCAGTGTACCTTTCCCCCACATCCTTGTTAGCATTTATTATTTGTGTTCTTGATAATTAACATTCTGTCTGGAGTGTAATGAAATCTTAGTGTTGTTTTGATCTGTGTTTCCCTGATTGCTAGAAATGTTGAACATTTTTTTTCCATATTACAAGCACCATTTGTTGACCATTTGTGTATATTCTTTTGAGAAACTTCTGATTTTAAAACTCACAGTAGATTCTTTGTGCAGATACTGTTATTGTCCCCATTTTACAGATGAGGATACTGAAGCTTTGAGAATAGCTTATGTTGCTTGCCCGAGGTCATTTGGCTGGCAAAAAATTGAGAGCGCACTTGAACCCTGGAAAAAGACTTCAGCATGAGCTTTGTAGTTACCCCCAGTAGTCACTGCCTAGCTCATGGATGAGATTATGTCTATTACTGGAGTAGTAGCAATTAGATTTATCACTGTCATTCTCTGAGATGACCTTCTATTTCTTTTTGTAGTATTTTGTGTGTTGTAATTTGAGAAGTGAATAAAACTGGATAGTAAAATAACAAGTGCTATTATTATTGAAGTTTTGGTGTATTTGAAGTTAAAGCCAAGTCTGACTCAATTCTTTGCACAATTCAGTAAATCTCATGAGAGCAAATAGATGAAGTGTTAAGTGGGGATAAAGGAAAGATCACTGTCTACTAGATGAAGGCTATCCAGTGGAGTTTCCATTTCTGTGTGGTGAACTCAGGACAGACATGAAAAGGGACCTATGAAATACCTGCATGTGCAGACTGTAAAATCAGGAGGCCCATCACCACGTTGTACATAGTCATCTTGGATCATCACCAATTTATGAAAGTTTTCTAACCCATTGTAGTCCGGCATTCCCCTCCCTTTGCTGCCCACCCATTTATATCTGATTCACTGGTTGCTACAGGATGACAGGACAACAAACCCTGTTAGCTGCCACTGTCCACAATTTGGACAGAAAATCTAGAGCTTAAAAATAAATCATGCTTGAGGAACTAGTTCTTGCAAGAAAGAAAAGACATCTTAACATAATTGATCTAAAAATTCACTAGTAATATTTTTTTCACTGGAAAACTTAAAAAGTTGAACTTTTATTTTCTTTCTTCTCCTACAAACCCTGTGTACCTCTGCCAAAATTTTTGTTTTTTAAGCATCTTGAGAAGATAAGGGAGAGTTTGAATAGTCTGCATCTTGTAAAATTCTAGAATAGTTTCCCTATGAAGTTGGTGGAAGGATGCTATTTTCTGTTGGTTTTGTGGTTTTGAAGGCAGCTGCTTTCAGGTCTCTTATGAAGTTCAACTGATAGTAAACTCAGCACCAGAACCTGAATCTTGTACCTTGTGGGGTGGTCTGATTAAAGATAGTTTTTGATGTCTGACTGAATTCTCAATAATCCATATATTAGTGTTTCAGGAGTACTAATATGCTTTCTCTTGGATAAGTTTGGAGTTCTTGGTTATAAATATGCTCCATATTAATTTGTTTCTCAAAGGCAGACTTAGGACTGATCCAATATTTGGAAGACCTCTGGATTGGATCTGAGGAATTTGACCTCCTTTGGGCCCCTTTTCCTAGCTTCCCTGAACTACATACTCAACTTAAAAGAACTGTTCTTTTTGAGTGCAGTACAGGTTGCTGTCAGGCAAAAATGTAGAGTTGAAAAAACAATTGTGTTGTAATTGGAAGACCTGGGTTCAAGTTTCAGCTGTGATACTAGCTTTGTGAACTGGACAAAACCACGTAGCCTTTCCAAGCCTCATTTTTCTAATCTGTAAAACACAGAAGGATGATGTCTGCCTTTTCTTCTTCACAGTGTGTTAGGAAGATCAAATATGATATTGTACATGAATATACTTTATAAACCATGGCACTTAGTATATAACTTGTACTGTTAGAAGACTTCTTAAACTAAGTCTTGCTATGGTTGAGTTCAGTAGAATATTCATTTTGTAGAATTACTATAATTTTGTGATGGTATCAAGGATGAGCCATGTTGCTTTTTACAGATACTGAGTCAACTGGTATTTGAGGTATGACATTTAGAATTCTTGAGAGATTATTTGTTAAAATAAAGGTTTCTCTAGCGGTCCAGGAAACATATGGTTCTGTGTTCTTCAAGTCTGTAGTTTGGATGGGGAGGGCACAGTCCACGTAAGTGGTGCCACAGCCTTAGTTGTATCTTTTGTACCTTCTACAGATGGATGACAATCTTCGCCAAAGCCCTCAGCTTCCTCCTCGGAAACTTCCAACACTTAAATTAACTCCAGCTGAAGAAGAAAGTAATTCCTTACAAAGGCTATCACCCTGACAGTGGTCATGCTTTGTGGTTAAAGTCATGATTGTTTTGGTAATCTCTTATATCCACTGTGTGAAGGCAAAAGGGAAATAACATTTCTAGGTAAAAGGAAGACTATAAAACAGAAGGAGACTTCTATGACATCTATATATATATTTTTAATTAGTAAGCTTGTATTCTAGCTTGGCATTGCATTTTAAATAAAGGTGAATGCTTAATGAACTTTGTGGGTGTGGGGGGGAACACATTGTACTGTATATTTAAAAAAACCTGCCTTAACCTTGGCAGATTTTTGCTTTTGGTTCACATGTTGCTGACCAAAACTACAATTTTGTTCTGAATGTGCATTTTTAATTTATTCAAGTTAACTTATTCAATTTACTAACTTAATTACTTCTTTGACTTGTCTGAGTACATAATATGTGGCTCTTTGAGACTTTTTTCTTCAGTTTAGAAATCCTATGCCTATTTTAGGAAGTATGAAAAATATAAATTACTTCAACAGAAAAGCCTGTATTTAACTTTAAAAAGCAATGAGGAATGTGCTTTTAAACTATGCTCTCATAAGTCTAATCTTCTGAGGGTTTAGTACCACATATATAAATATTAAAGGTGGTTAGATATAATCTGATGATATGCACTTCAATATAACATTAGTATTTGCTGCTATGTTCAGTGTAGGTTAGCAAGGGCTCTTTGAGTTGCTGGGTGGATATGGCAGCTTTAGACCTGCTTATTTGTAGCACATCTTTAATTGTCTCATTCCTGTATTGATTCCAGGAGATCTAAATGTGTTGGTCATTGTTTTATGTTAGGCTATGAAATCTTAATGAAACTTGCCCAATTGTTAGACACTACTCAGGAGGAGCCCAAGGCCCAGGTAATAGAAATACCCACTGTGCATCTGGTCTGAGTTGTTCATTCTTGACTCAGGCCAGTATTCTTTCATAAGAAGCATATCATGTAGTCACGAGCTTTCTGACAACCAATTATTTTCCATATATTTTAACTATAGTTGAAGGATCCAAAGGAATAATCAGAAATAGCAGCTTTTTAAGACTATTTTCTATTTATTGGTTGATGAACTGTTCCAGGATTTGCTGTGTGGTAATTTTACTTATAATAGAAATTTGCTTATTTTAGTGGTTGAGGTGCTTCTGTTGTCCTAAAACCACTTCTGGGGTTTTTAAATATAGGACCATGTTTTTGATTAGTGTCTTAAAAGATTACTATGGTGCTCAGCAAATCATCAAGTCCTGAAGAAACCCATATGTTAAGAAAATGAGCTTTGTTGTCAAGAGACTGGGCTAATTTGAGTTGAGTGGAGCTCAGCTGTGTTTGACCGACATCCTCCCAATTTATTCTGTCTTTAGGTAGCTATTTATACAGGAGTCTTTAAGTCATTTTAAATATTTTTTCTTGAAAGTTTTAACTGAATGAGAAACAAGATAGTCTTCACAATCATATTCATCTGTTTGGAAGCATTTAGGGAAAGTACCTACCGATTTTCCCATTGCTTCTCCAACAGAGGTGTGTGTATGTTTTGTTCATCTTCAAAGGGAGGTTATTAGATTGGAGCAATCTGAAATATGTATGAATATTTTATATTGAAAATCATGAGCATGAAACTTTATTGTTCTCTAGGATTGATGTATATTGAAGAAGAGTGGTTTCGCACATTAATCAGACATCTGTTTATGCTTTAGTCAGGGTTAGTCATTTTCAATTATGATTTATATTAAACCTTTCAAAAAGCATTAGAAGTGGCTTACAATTGTAAAACACATGTAAAACAGGACAGTTACAATTATTTTTTGAAAAAAAAATTTGTAGGAAGAAACTATATTGGCACTAACAGATTATAACATTGAATGGTAAATTTAACTTCAAGTTTCTCTATGGATGAAGTCAAAAGGTAAAGCTGGGTTAAATAAGTTCTTTCAATAAGATTACTAATGTGTATGTGGAAGAAAAATGTGTTTAAATATTTATGAGAATGTAGAAGATCATGTTCTTACAGTACACAGACTTCAACCAAGAAGTGTACTGTACTGTTTTATGTGTTTAAATTTTAATCAAAAGTGGTCATTTTAGTATAATAAGTAGTTATCCTTTTTAGTAGAGGGGATGACTATAAATATGATTTGTTTGCCATTTGGTCATCCCTGCTTTGAACTGCCTTTGGCCTTATATAATCCATTATGCTTCCAGACCATTACCTTTCCTAACAGGCAAAATATGATTTAGTAATTAAGAATTTATATGTTGGGTTATTTAGTTGAGCTAACTTTCTATAAGCAAACAAGATGACAGAAAGCTATATCTGAGCATGAAATACTTTAGGGCCAGCCAAACACATAGGAAACTTTTGGAACAATTTTTTAGAATGGATAAAGAACCTTCCTGTTCAGGATATTTTTGAATAAAGTTTGAGTTTGCTGGGAAAAATGGCCTGCAGCCTTAAATAAAATACTGTGAACCACTGTATTTTGGAGGTGATGGTGGAGGATAATGTGATAAAGGGAATATGCTTATGTTTATTTTTGTTAGTAATACACGATTAGAAAAATTGGTTAGATAATTCCCAGATGTTGAAGCCACTCCATCAACAAACTTCACAGTCATCCATAACATGGATTGCTTAAACAACACCAAAGAAACCGTAAAGGACATTGAAAATGATCATTTCTCCAAAACTGTTTTTTGATTTCACAAAGGGTTGGCATTAACAAATCAAATTTCAATTTAGATATGTTTGAATTATTTTTGAGTACTAGAGGATTAGAGATTTTACAGAAGCAGGCATTTTTATTTCCATTTGTAATTTCTGTCCATTTCATATTCCTAGGATACATTAACATGAAGAAACAGGAAGGCTTATTTCAACAGAGCTAAGTTAAAATTTTTGGAAGTCTATAAAATTGGGAAAAAATAAGAAGAGGCAGAAACTAGTCACAGTGATGGTATCTTAGAAAACCAATTTGTTCAGGTAGCTTCATGTGATGAAATTGATATTTGAATTTGCAAGTTTGTTTTGCACTTCCTTCAAAAATATGCATTGATTTGTTCTGTTAGATTTGGGGGGGCAATTTTTCATAAGCTATCAATAATCTTAACCCTTTTAAAGTCAAAATAAAAGTGCTTTAATATAAACAGGAAGCTAAGAATAGGACATGGGCTATCTCTGTTCTATTTTTGCAACATCTTCTAAGTATATAATTATTTTATTTTTTTAAAAGTAAATTGATTATTATCTACTGTGATTTAAGATTCTATGCTTCAAACATAGTATTTGGCTCCAGATGAATAAATACAGAATAAAATTAAGTATAATTTTGATTTCATTCTTGGGCTTAAAGAAGAAAACTCAGGTGTATAACAAATGTTTCTCAAAAGATCTACTTTGCCTTACCAAAAGAGAAAAAATAATGACCTAAAATCAAGAAATCCTTTTCCCTATGATGTCAAAAATTATGTGATTTTATGTTTCTAATTATATATATTTTTTCTTGTGGTATCTTTGTTCACATTTGAGGATAAAATATTTTGAAGTAGTTCTTCAGTCTCTTCACATGGGAGTTCTTCATTTTCTATTTATTGTCTAGATACACAATGTGATGAGAAATGCACTAAGACTACCCTTTCATGAAGGAGTGACATGTCTGTGTGCTTTTTGTTTTAATCTCAAAGAGAGTTAGCAATTGACTCTTTCTTGGTTTGGTTATTTTTATAATTGAGATTCTGAGCAGAGCAACAGAGATAATTTGGGATGCGGTAAGAATTTTTATTTTTTGCCTTTTTTAAAAAAATATTTTTGGCTATTGTTAAGCTCTGTGGAATTTATATTTACTTTTTAATGCTTCCATATTTGTAAACATATTTTTAGAAACACTTGTCCTTACATGAAATCAAAAATCAGTGATTCTAAATATTCTCAAAGTTTTAATTAAAGTTTCATTAGCTCTTCAAAATGCTAATTATCACAGAGATGTAAGGATTTTTTTTTAACTTTTGGTTTTAAGGTTTGCAAAATAATTTAGCCTACAAACTATTGTTTCTATATTGGGATATAGTGATTGCTAGGAGACCAGATTACTAGCTCTGGACTTTAGGAAAATTGTGATTGAGGTAGGGGAATTTAAGAAGATTTAAAAATTATTTTTTTCCAGAAAAGTATACCATAAATTACTGGTGAGAATTAACTTTTTTTTTTCCAGTATTGAGGACTGAACTAAGAGGCACTCTACCAATAAGCTACATCCCCAGTCTTTTATTAAATTTTATTTTGAGATGGTGTCTCACCAAACGACAGAGGCTGGCATTGTACTTGTTATGCTCCTGCCTCAGCCTCCTAAGTAGCTAGGATCACAGGGTGTGCTGCCACACCTGAGAATTAACATTCTTGAACAATGGTATGATATAATAGAAGGATAGCATCAAGTTGGATGTTTGTAAGTAAAACGGAAGATGTTGTAATAGAAGATTATCAGAGTAAAATAAGCTAGTTTCTTTTAAAAAACAAAAGGCAAGAAGATAGTTTTTCTATGCCCTCATTATTATTAATTTGAAATAAAAATATTTTTAAAACACATAGTTTTATTGTATCAGAAAAGTAATTCCTAAAGGGGCATTTTGGCAGAATATATTGTTATATGAATAGAGAATTCTCTAGCTCAACAAGTTTGGAAAATGTTCTATTAGACATAGTTCAGTTCTATAGGCTTTTCAGAGCTTTTGATGTGCTAATTACTTTTTCAATCTTCCAGATTTCCAAGTTTTATTTTATTACTAAAGACATAGTCCAAAGGGACTGTACGTGTCTGTGTACATGTGCTTTTGCACATGCATTTCTTAGGAGGAGGTTTGTAGTTTCCATTAAGCACCTCTATTTTATACATCATTTCCCTAATTTATTTAAATGTAGATTTTGTGTTGAAGTAGATGTTTTGTGGGATTTGTGTTCTGAGAAATACACTTAGGAAAAGAGTCTTTTTGATGTTTTGCTTTCATTGCAGAAGTTTCTTTCTATGTTGGATGCCCCTCCAGTGACGGTGATAAAATGGGTCAGAACTTCTTAACTATGGAATTGAGAGCAGGGTGACTTTGGGTGTTGATAGGTTGTGATTTAGGTACATGTGGGACCCTGGTCAGTCCAGCCCATTACCCTAGAGTTGCTGTCAGCCTGGAATAGCGGTCCAGGGGTCTGAACTGGTGGTTCAGATAATTAATCACTTCGTAGGCATCCACGAGACAGAATCAACTTGTAATGTCAGAACAATTTTCCATATCTTTTCCAGGTGTGCTTTAAAAGTGCCAAAGAAGACAATGGGCTTTTATTATATATGTAAGAAAGCATTCGGTTGCTTCCATGACAAGGCAAAGGAAGCTTAATATTTTCAAGTTTTATTTTATAACAGAAAACATGGCCTAAATGAGGATTGTGTGTGCAGCACACTTGCACGTATTTTCATTACATTTCAGCAGATTCTACTCCTAAAGAGTTAAAACCTCACTGGACTTCAAATTTGAGGTAGCTAACTAAATATGTTTTATTTCATTTCAAAGTATAAAACCAGATCTCTAATGAGACATAAGGCTGGTTTTCTGTTCATTTGTTGCAATGTATACAGCTCATGTTTTGGATGTGTTTTTAAAAAAGCTTGCCCTTGGGCTTTGAGTTGTGATGTGATGGTGAACATCTAACCACATGAAAAGAGGTTGGATCTTTGTTCTGTTTCTTCAGTTTTCCTCTTGCAAAGTCAGAGAAATGCCTTTTAATCATTTAGTTTAC